TTTGTCTCTCTCTCTCTCTCTCTCTCTCTCTCTCTCTCTCTCTCTCTCTCCAAAGCAAACATAAAGCTACCCTTGTGGTGGCCTCAATGAAGAGCCATCACTTATTCTTTTGGTGCTCATGGGTCCAATCTAGTCCCTAATCATCCCACAAACCTGACCCAACTTGTCTCATAATTCACCGTTTCATACCATATAACAGGATAATGCACTCTCACAAACAAATCTCCAAATACTATACAGAGAGAGAAATTCTTGTTCTCTAAATTTCAATTAGATTGATAAACACATGAAACTCTTGAAAATAGCCGATTCAGATCATGTATTGTAAGATACACTATTTTGCAAACTAAAAATCTTTTTTTCTTTTCATATCATACATCTTGATGTCGAGATGATCGATTAGAGGGTTTTCCAACATCTAAACAACGATAGATTTTTGAAGTTTTAATGTTACACCTTTATATAAACTTTTTTATTGATTTTTGAAGTTTCAGAGTTACAACTTTATATAAACTTTTATTTAAATAAAAGGTGTGGTTTGTATAAAGATCAAGCTCCAAACAATTAGAGTAATGCACATCTTCAAATACTTGTACTGAAAATCTTTGGAATAGCTTGAAATTTTATTTTTATCTCTAATTAAAAATAGTATAGATTAAATAGATCTATGAATATTCGAAAATCTTCAAAATTGACTAACTTAAAAATATATATTATAATATACGCTATTTTTTTCCAGACTTGAAATTCATTCTCATGCCCATACATATTGAGGTCGAGATGATCCATTTGAGGATTTTTAAGCATCCAAAAAAACCCCTTCTAGTGAATTTTTAAGGTGCGCCTTAATTTGATCATTTAGGGCCTCATACCTATTTATAAACTTTTTCCTTAAATAAACAACTTGCCAGATGGATGAAAAACAAAAAAAATACAATGTAATTAAAAGCTTTAAATAAAAGAGCTTGCCAACTGGATGAACAAAAAAAAAAAAAACAAGGAAGCAAAAATACAGGTAAATATAGGAGGAATCCTCCTAGTGGACAAGAAAGTGGAAAATTGTCCTGGACTCTAATGGGAATCAGTTTGTTAGAGAGACTCAATCACCCGTATTTATCCCTCGAGCTCCTTTCTGTTTCACCTCCACTTATCTCTGAGTTCCTTTTTTTCAGAGAGGCGCCATGTTATAAAAATAGCAGCAACCAAGGCAACTATGGTTATGAGTAGAAGGGAATAGCTGAACTCTTCAGTGAGCGAATCATATGTTCGGGATGGCGCAATTCTTGTATAGAAGAGATCCACACCGTATATGAAAACCAGGCTGGTGGACTCTAGCTTCGCGGGGAATGTCTCGATCCCTCGCAGCCCTTCCACTCGGACTGAATGTGTCACATAAGACTGAAAAAACCCAACAAAATATTGTCAATCTCTCTCTAAAGCTATACAAAATCCGCCCCTCACACGAACACGCAAGCACACACACCACAGAGCATCCACACAGCTAGGAAGCCCAATGATTATCTCTCTCAGAGACACACAAAGGCATTGCATTAAGAGCCACTGCAAAAACCCAAGAACTCTCTCACTCTCACACACACACACATACACACTGCATTAAGCACAACTGGAGAAATCCAAATCTCTCTCTCTCTCAATACATTACACAACATTTTCGAGAGTTTTATGAACCACAGTATAGAGGCATAGTTCGAACCATTATAAACAATATGCTGACGTAAATTTTGGAATGGATTATAAAGAAATGAGTTTTTGGGCTCTTTTAATACATGAGATTGTGAGATTGAAGATATTGGGAGAACTACTTTCAATCACAACTACCCTGAAAGCATGTTTCTTAAAATAAACACAGTAAAGTGGAAACTAGAAAAACATAATATCAGTAGAAATCCGATCTAATTTTAGAACATTTTAACAATTTAACATTATTCTGATAATTTCAGAAATTGAATATGTTTCTAAAGTTGAAAAAGAGGCAAAAATAGTTATAGAAGTTATATCATAAGCCTAAAATAATGAGGCAAATGCTCATGCTCCAATACATAAAAGCAAAATCAAACCCAAGAAAGTGTGAGCCTATCCGATTATGATAACAAAAACAAGGAAAAGAACATAATAAATATGAAAGAAGAGAATGGAACCTGGGGTATGATTGGAAGTGAATCAGTCAAGGGTATAATCCCCTCCTCTTTCTCTGCTTGTGTGGGATTAATAGTCCGACGAGGATCAACATAGCGCTTATCAAGAGCCAAAACCTATGGATATTATCACATCATAAATTATAAACAATTATCTATTTTCGACATACATTCTAATAACAAAAGTAAATGATATACGAATTCTATTGAATCTTAAGGCAAGTCGTTGGATCAAACTGCAAATAAACCTAGCACCAAAACCCATGACAAGAGTACTCAACAAAAGCACATTTGCACACTCCTAGAGCTTTTAATCACCTGATCCCCAATGGTGCCAATAAGGAGCTGCTTTGACGTGATGCCCTTTGCCGTGGAGGTGACTGCCATCGATTTCACTGAGTGCGTAAAGAAGTAGCTCTGAGATTTAACCATCACCTCTGGTCGTGAATAAGAAGAAACAGGAGTCGTAAGGTTATGTTTTCCCAGTACAAGTTTCAACACGTCCTTGTTATCCTGCCCAATATAGCCAAAAATTAGATTAATTAAAAAATATGCAATAAGGGGAAAATAAATAGAGATAGATATAGATAGATAGGTAGGTAGATGGCACACACACACATGTAGAAAGGGAGAGAGAGAGACAGAGAGAACAAAAACACAAAAAGCAGCCACTTCAAGCATTTGGAGGGGGCTACTCAGAATGGAGTGAAAGTCCAATAAAACAAAAAATAAAAGAACATTACCGCACGGGACTGATCATAGATCTCGATGACTGACATCTCATATTTGTGAGCTCTCAGGTTGAAGTAGTGGTACACGACCCAGTTCTCACTAAAAACCTTCAAGAGACAATAAAGAGAGCATTTGCAACTCCAAATCAAACCAACAAAAACAGAGAAATACTAATTCTTATAAAAATCAGTACCCGTTTATCATAAAAATTGCACCGCTCAATAAGAATATAAATACTGCACTACTAATTAAGATTATACCAATTAAGAACAAATATAACTTCTCTAATTATAAAATTGCAGAATACTGTAACACTAATAATAAAAAAGGGATATAAATTTGCTTAGAGAAAAAAAAACAGAAATATTGCACAACTTACAGCTTGAATAGGACCATGGGCACCAAGGTGGGTGACACGGTGCAATATGCGCCCTGTAACTGTGTCAATGAGATATGCAACTAACCAAGCTTCATCAGGGGTAATAGACCCTATTCCATCTGTTGCTTTAGGCGCAATGGTAGCCACAAAGAGCACATTTCTTGAGATATATTTGAATATCACATCTTGGTCTGTCAATACCTTTGCTTGGGTATGAACCACCTGATCCAAAACATATCGTCCATCATTAGCTCTCTCATGAACATCTCTCTCTCTTACTCTCTCTCTCTCTCTCTCTCTGACTTTAACACACAAAGGCAGAACATTAAGAAAACTAGGTGCTGTCTTCATCATATTTGAAAAAGAGTAGAGCAGTCTCTTTCACAATGCCAGAGCGAGTTTCCTAAATCTCTTAACAACCATTCAAAATCTCTCTCTTCCTTCCAAAACCAAAAGGCAATACCGAACCTCGAAAACAAATAGTTAAAAGAAAACAAACCTCATTTGACTTTCTAGTCGCAACTGCCGAGATCTTCTCAGATTCCAAAGGGAAAACAACCTTCCACAATTCCCTGGTCTCAAAGCAGTAGTCATCCCCTTCTTCTCTTATGCACTTCCCCTTCAAACCATATCCCCTTATAATCCCTCTCTCACTATCAATTGAATACAAGTAAATATTTGGGAGTTCCCTAAGGAAAACCCCAAGAGACTCGCTTGATCTTGGATGCAAATGTGCTCTCTTTTCCCCATCTACAAATAAGTGAAGCCTTTGCTCCAACGAATCAGTGAAGGGAAGTGGAACAATTTGGGTCACAGGGTGAGTAAGCCTAAGGGATTCAAGCTCCTTTCCAGTGTAAGAATCAACAAAAGAGAGGAAATTGGGTGAGCCCAGCCCACATCTACCAACCACAAGAACGGACGGGTTTTCATCTAGAGCATGATGGTGAGGAACCTGCCATTCATGTCCATAAATATTTTCAATAAGTAAGAATATCGTTGTTTTTTAACAAATTTATTGGCTGTGTGAATACACCATGTAAAAAAACCTTCTCAAATTTTTTTTTTATGAAGTTCAAAAAAAAATAAAAATAAATAATTACTCTGGAAAAAAAGGAATCTTAAGTTCTTCTGACATTGTAGCAGATGATTCTGTACAGGTGATCTATGCTTATCTGGGGGCTCAGGATTGTGTGGCATGGAATAGCACCATTACTAGATGCCCTTCAAAGAGAGACAGGCTGCTTGCAGAGATAGAAAAAAGGGATCCCCTTGAGAGATTAACTCCCTTAAAAATAGTAGTATGCCCACTCTATGGTATTCTAACACACAAAGGGGATCAGACATTTGGAATGGGCTTACAAAAACAAACAATAAATTTAGAAAACAAAATGCTGCCCACTAGGTCCCTACAGAGATCTTATTTTGTCAACTAACAGAAGGCCTCCTATACAGAAACTATCAGCTAATGTATTAGAAATTTAGTTTCATTAATAATATTTCAGGAATATTAAGTACCTGCCACTGATATATTTTAACCCCAGTAGGATTTTGGCACTTTTCAGATTTTCGGAAGGAAGGAGATAGAAGAGACCAGACTACGCGCCCATCTCCAGTGTGAAGTGCCAGTATCTTTCCAGCTCTTGTGAGTACTATGAGAAGCTTTCGGAACCCATTATGGTCACGTGTCATCTTGGTTTTCTCCGAATTCTTCAGCCTCATTTCTTGAATCACAGCTATATCTTCTGCGCTTGCAAGCATTAGGGTCTCCTTGAGTTTTAGAAAGTGCCCCTTATTATAATAAAAAAATATAAAGAAAAGTCTCAGTAGATTGCAGGGATTCAATACATGCACATAGATCCAAAAACTTCTCGTAGAGAAACTTTCTGTGAATTGGCTATAGAAAATGTAAATCTGAAATAAAGAATGAGTCCTAGAATAGAAATAATTCTCCGGGAGACCTTGCATTAGAATTAGAAAGGTTGGTGAATGTAGACAAGAAATTAGAATCCTGTTAAATAAAGGCTATGTTGGCTGATTTTCCAATTTCTATGACACAATAGAGAAGAGAGACAAGTGACAAAACTGGTCGCCAATGAACATTTGGAAAAAGCTACCGATGTATTTCAGTTTTTCTTGAATGTAAGGCTGACGTATTTGGTTCACTCCTAGGTATTCATGGTGCAAAGGATGCCATTGTTTAAGACGAGTAAATAAGTCTTGTTTTACACAATTCAATGATTGAAATGTTCAAAAAACTCAAAAGGTCTTGACTCAGAGTTGGCAGCCCGTAGAGTCAACCAAAACCATGGGAACCAGCCAAGTCTCACCGGTTCCCATGATTTTAATGTCAAATATTTTTGGTGCTTGACCAAGTCTCTGACAGACTCAGTTGAGTTGGGATGCCTGACTTGGGTTCAGGACCCTAGCGAGTCCCAACTCGAGTCCTTGCTTTAAAACACTAAATCAAAACCATGGGAGTGCCAAGGTACACATAAATAATATTAAAAATGTAAATGATTTTGAAATTTCTACAAAGCTGCCCCTAGTTTTGGAAAAATATCACTCTCTCAGCCATCAAAATTGTAATAATGACTCCCTTCCGCCCTCGCCTTCCCCCCCCGGTCCCCCTTTTCTTTCCTACCCGCACATCCACCAACAAACATAGGGCCACCAAACGGGCTTGCTATCTCTCTCTCTTCCCACAAACATAGGGCTGCCAAATGGGCCGAGCAGGCACATGGACTTTGGGGCCGGGTTGGGGCCAGAAAGTAAGGCATGCAGACCAGGCCTAAGCCTGGCAATATAGGCATGTTTTAATTTCGGGTTGGGCCCAAAAAAAAATTTATATAGTCCATACATTAGAGTTTTATAGTCTATAGACCATAATTTTCATTGTCCATGTACTAAGACTATATAACTTTTATATAATTTATATCAAACATATAAATACATAAGGGAAAAGTTTATACAGAGCGTAGGATCTAAACAATCAAATTAGAGCCTACCTTCAAATTTTCACTAGAAGATGTTGTTTTGATGCCCAACTATCATCAAATTGATCATCTCGACATCAAGATGCATGGACATTAGAAAAAAATAGATTTCAAGTTTTGGAAATAGTGCATCTTGTAATGCATTTTTGGACCATCAATTTTCAAGATTTTCTGGTTTTTATAGATATGCTCGATATACACTATTTTTTAAGCTTTAAATTTTATAATTACGGATGAAAATATATTTTAAGGCTATCACAAAAATTTTCAGTATGGAATCCATATTTCTCGACACTATTTGAAGGTGGGCTCTAATTTGATTGTTTAGAGCCTCGGCTCTATACAAACCGCACCCAATACATAATTCATGGACTATAAAAAGGAATCTTCAAAGATCTATGAACTATATTTAGAGCCTAAAAAAGTCAAAAAACCAACCCAAATCCCTCATTTGAAACCCTAAACTTAGGGGTGGCAAACAGGTCGGTGGGTTGAACTGACCCAATCCAGGTTTAGTTCCCATTTTTTAATCTGGCAGGTTGGGTCTGGGTCCAGAAACAGGGGCCCAACTTTGGGTCAGGTCCAGTCCAATCTGGGCTGCTCAGAAACCCAGCAGGTCTGGCTTCACATCTTCAAGGCTTTAGAGAGTGAAATACATCCCCTAAGCTCGTTGATCTTCTTGAAGAAAACTTGGAGCTCAAATTTACAACCCTACCTCCATTGTTGAATGAATATGGGGGTTTTCTGGAACCATATGCCATCAATTTAGAATTTCTTCAGACCTATTCGATTTCTATTTTGCCCAATCTGGTTTACGACATCCAAAACCCAACAATTTTGAGATTGTATTGGGAACCCAATTGTCCCTGGATTTGATTTGGTATTATAAATTTGAGCAAATTTGGGGTTTTAGCAATCCATCAATCCTGCTATTCACCAATGTTTCAGGGCTTTCAAACTGAATAAGTTTCATTGGTATAATTGGGGTTTGAGAAAAAGGCTCTGTAAAATTCTTTAGAGAGAGAAAGGACAAGGGGGTTTTCCAACCAACTCACCCTCCTATCTCGCACGGATTGGGGTTCTTTTCAAAACCCCTTAATGTCTGTGTTGGATCACTACTGAGAATTCGACCCTCTTGCTGCTGATAAACTGACTTATTGGCTTTGCTAAGAAGCAATCAACCTTGATCAGTACTCAGTGTGGATTTCCTGAGATCACTCGGTCCCTGCTAAAGCTGCACATTCCGCTGGGCCAGGCTGGGCTCAGGCCCTTTTGAGGCATTCGGGTGGAGCCCGGCTTAGCCTGAAGAAACTATTTCAGGCCTGGGCCTAGTCCAAAAAACTCGTCCGAGCCCATGGAAGCCCTAGACATAACAGTGCATTTCATGACGAAAGCACCACAAACATGCGCTTTCATGGGAAAGAGGAGATCTAGGTCTGTGATAATTTTGTTATAAATTTTGAAACTTTGGAGGTACTGTCACTATTCAAGTAAAGTGAATAGTAGTTCCATATAATTTAACCTAAAATGTTGCATCTGGGATTCTATTTCCAAACAATTCGATGGAGAGATAGAGGGAGAGGGGGAGGGGAGAAGAAAGAGAGAGAGAGGGAGAGAGAGAGAGAGAGAGAGAGAGAGAGAGGAGGAGATACTACGTGACGCTAGTAGTAGTACGTGTGTCGTCCTACCGTACGTACGACCGACGTACGTACCGTCCCTTTCCTTACCTAACCGAACGGAC